ACAGTCTAAGAAATATACTTGTTTCTTATTTTGTGAGGCAACAAAAGAAATTAGGCTCAGAGATTTTATTTCTTCATTTATTTAGAGACAGTAGGAAACTCGGAATACCAACATAGATATTGAATTAATATATGTATAAAGTGACAAAACAGAAAAAGCATTGATCCAGCCAATTAATACATGATATAGTTCTGTTATAGGAGCCACAGATCCAAGAAGTTACACTTTAGAAGTATGCTGATAGAAAATTATATATAATTACTTTCTCAGTGCTGATGCTTTATATAACACAGACATATTTGGGTCTGATTCAGAAAGTTGGCTCTCACTTAGAGATGTTTTAGTTAACTCAGAATCTGCATCTAAACTCATATTTGTAAATAAGTTTGTTCTCTGGTACTTCTTTTCGCTTTTAATCACATTTGATTTAATTACCATTTTGCCTATTGAAGCAGGCAGTTGCAGACGTTTGTCTGATGCTAATACTTGATTTTTTGAAGGTTTATAAAATGCATTAGGGAGAGATTCAACATTATCATTTCTTTTAATCTCTGGAATTCTAGACGATATATCAGGTTTTGGAACTTTCCTGTCTACAAGGTGTACGTTTTGTTTTAGGACAGGATTCGGACTGTGATTTATGTACATTCTGACGGGACTAACAATATCTTTAAGATTAGGCTTTAGCATTTTTTGGCTAGATTTTATTTTTGAAGGAACATTTGGCACTCTAAATGATTTAGGTGACTTTTTAAATAGAGGAATATTACTTTTACACATACTTGGGGACTTTAAATGTATGTGATCTTTAACAGGTGTAACTGTAGACACAGATTTTTGTAAAAAAGATCCAGATATCAAATTAACTGATTCAGGACACACTTCATAATTTCTTTTTTTATCACATGTATAAATATCAGCTAGATAATTTTCAGATAAGTTTTCCTTATCACTCTCTATTACTTCATCACTACTTTCATAACTGTCATTTGCCTGTTTTAAAATAGCATTAATTTTTTCAATTGTGTCATCTAATGGGCAGTCACTGGACTCACTGAACTGCTGTAAATCTATTTCTGGCAGAGATATCGCTGAAACAGAACAACTAGCTGCACCTATAAGAAAAATAAACAAAATCAACTTTTTTACATAATACTACACATTTAATCCTACTTTTTTTGTGTACTATGTATTGTAATTTGTTATAAAATTATTCTTAACCCTCTATCGCATGAAAATCCATATATGGATATATGGAACCCCTATATATTTTTAAAATCTGGCAACTCTGCTAGACAAGTCAACCCAATCATTTTAGTTACAACGTGCTGTGCATTGCGATTTTTTAGAACAAGTGAAAAATTTATCTCCATCATCGGCGTTTTACAAGTAAGTAATCAATTTTTTTTATTCTTTCATGTCTCATTAGTGTTTGTTCTTTATAAGTTAGATGATATTTAGTGATTATTTACTTTGGTTTGTCAGAGAAAACGACATTTAGTGATCATCCATATATGGCTTCTTATGCATTATCAAAAAAAATATACAGATTTTGTTGAAGCCATATATGACTTTGTATGCATTTGAAGAGTGATTTATGTGGATATTATTTGTTTTCAGAAATGGATTCCCAAAGGTTTTATCACAGTTCTAAATATGTGAACACTATTCCCAGTGATGGAGGGTTAAGTGACAATGATTACACTGATTCAGACGAAGAATATTTACCTTCTTCATCTACAAAACAATGTCTTCAGTCCGTAGTAGTATCTGAAACTGATTATTCTAACATAGAGACATCTGATGCCGAATCAGAAGTTGACGATGTAAGGGCAACTACCTCAATAGGACTCAAACCAGCAGACAAAAATAAATCAATATCTACATCTAAAAACAAGAAAGAGAAAATATTATGGAAGGAATCAAAATTGAAGAGTTATTATGAAAATGATTATGCTTTCTTGGGAGAATCTGAATGGCCAGAATGAATGCAGAGATTGGAGAGCCCTATAGACTTTTTTAAATTCTTATTTAATTACGATTTAGATAACGTTCACAAACCCGGCAACATTACAAAGTATGAAATTGAACAATTTATTGGAATCAGCGTATTTATGTCACTTTTAAAATTACCTTATAGTAGACTCTACTGGAACTCACATTTATGCCAACGACTTACTTATATACGAAACTATGACTTGTAATCAGTGGGAAGAGATTAAAAAATGTTTACATTCCAATAACAACAATAAGTTTATACAAGCTAGTTTACCGGGTCACGATAAACTTATATGTGAACAAATATTATTAGTTCCTAAAGAAGAGTATCTCTCTATTGATGAACAAATCATACCTACTAAAACAAGACACAGTCTAAAACAATACAATCCTAAGAAACCCAAGAAATGTAGATTCAAAAATTTGGTACCTAGTGGAGTTTCAGGATTCAGCTACAATTTTGATATATTTGCTGTTATAACATATATATACATATATATGTTATACCTTCATCAGATCTTGGAGCAAGTGGAAATATAGTTACAAAACTAACTAGTACAATCCCATGGCACAAAAATCATAAAATATGTTTTGATAATTGGATCAACAGCCCTAACCTACAAGTTTATCTTTCACACAATGGTTTGCTGCCCTTAGGGACAGCTAGAATTAACAGAGTAGCAAACTGCCAAATGCCTACACCAAAAAAGTTAAAAAAATGGTTGAGGTACTATGGTAGAAAAAACTGGTGTTATAGATGGAGTAGAAATCTCTTGTGTTTGTTGGTACTACAACAAACTAGTTACCATGCTCTCAACATATGTAGGTAGTTCTCCTATAACTTCCAGAGAGCTCTATTTTCGAGAAGACAAAGAACATGGTGAAATTCCTTGTCCTAAATCAATAGTTGTTTATAACAAGCATATGGGAGGAGTTGATCTATTGGATACCATGCTAAAGCTCTTTTTAGATTCAGTTACGTTCAAAAAAATGGTACAAGAAAATATTTTTTCACCTGTTGGACATGTGCATTGCGAATGCATGGATCCTGTGGCGCCAAAAGAGTGTAAATTATATGCCATTATTTGACTTCAAACAATATATTGCAGAAAATTTATGCAAGGTGGGCAAGAATAGTTTGCCAAAGAAAAGGGGTCGACCATTACCAAATGTCAATTCACCAAGCAGTTCCATAACTGAAGCAGAAACTCCCAAATCCAAAAAGCGGCTTACTTTGCTTCAAGATTATCCAAGCAATGAAGTTCGTATAGATGCCATTGGCCACTTTCCCCAGTGGAACAATACAAGATTGTTTTGCTATAATGAATGTAAATTTAGATCTTTTGTTAGATGTACTAAATGTAACATATTTTTATGTTTAAACAAAGATAAAAATTATTTCATAGAATTTCACTCCTAAAAACAATAACTAGTTTAAGCGCATAAGAAGCCATATTTGGACCTGTCTATTTTTGTACATTTTAGGTTTATTGCATAGGAAGCCATATATGGCTTATTTTTTAATTTTCTTAATTAGTAGAAAATTGTTGTAAATTCTTTGGTAAATATACTTCTTTATAATAACAAAATCTTAAATTTTGCAAAAAAAAAAAAATTCTATCAAACATAATTCATGCAGTAGAGGGTTAAGAACTTCCCAATTTAGGGGTAAATTTATAGCACAGTACTATCTTGGAAATTATCGATTACTACAGGGTTTACCTGGATTAAATAGAGAATGTGTAAACTTACAGACATTGCATTATTACAAACAGAACAAATATCTCATTATCCTTACCTGTATTATGATAAATACTCTCTTGATCTTGTGTATCTTTAGCAGTATCCTTATCACTTTTATTTTTCTCATCCTCACTGCTAACTTGAACATAACTTAAATTCTGATATTCACCTGTAGCATTTCCTTCATCACTAGAAATTTCAAATGGACTTCCAGATATATCCCTCTTCACATCTTTTGTAAAGGACTTATCAGGAGAATTTAAACTATCATCAATGAGTGTTTGATATTCATTTTTAAAAATGTAGTCACAGGTCCTTTCCATAGCATTTTGTACAAAGTTTATTTGAGAAACATCTCTATAATCCTGTGCCTTATCTTCTATTATATTTTTATTCACTGATTTTTCTATATCCGTGCCAGAAAAATAGACAGAACTTTCAGGTGCTGAATTATTACTTTTTTCAATTGCAGAGTGATATTCCAATAAACTATCCTGTTGGTATTCACAAGCACTCTTAGCATTTCCAACTTCTGAGGCTGTTAAGTAAGATGATATGTCAGGAATTTGATTATCTTCCTCTTTAACACGCTCAGACGGTTCCATCTCCTTTTCAATCGTTACTTTGGGGAATTTGTTGTCACCTTTAATTTCGCAATGTGTAGTGTATCTACTTTGCCAATTACGATGTCTTTTAATATCCCCCTTATATTCTTTTAAGGTCATTGGTCCCCATGCTACTTCTTCATCACTGCTATAAAATGCTTCCATAGTTTATATTTCTATTATCTACTCAAATATTTTTTTTAAAATAACGAACTTTTCAATTTTTTCATTTCTTCTTTTTAATTAACTCTTTCAAATTCTACTTCTGTATTATTTCATAGTAAACTTGTATGTTTGGGCATTCCAGCAACCTTTCACTTGACTTTGACGTGGCCCCTTCAATCTTCAGTTACAGTGGTTACAGTACAAAATTATTTATTCTGTGGTGACCAATGACTTATAATCATCGAGTTGAAATCATACTTCATTGGTGCTGCGGCATCTGAGAGCGGGCAGTGGGCATTCTGATTGTTATTTATTCTGTGTTATAAAACATACACTTATAATATACATAGTATCTCATAGAGTATATATATAATTGACAGTGACATAAACACTCATTTTGGCAAACAGGCAGCAAACGTCAAAATTTTAGTTCAACGATATCCATTGACAGAACTCGATGGGTAGTCGTCTGTTTTTGCACGAAAGTTCGATTTTATTTTAATTTTTTTGACAACATGGCAAATTTAAGACAAACTCCTTTAACTTGTAGTGGACACACAAGACCTGTGGTTCATCTAGATTTTAGTGAAGTTACAGACAGCGGATATTATTTAATTTCGGCGTGTAAAGGTAAACACATTTTTATTATTTTCTTGTTACAATTTGTAACCTTGTATGTTTATATGAATTGTACCTTGGCCTAATTAAAAACATTAACATGCTGCTAGTTGTTTGACCTGAAATAAAACCTTACAAGTAGACATGGAAGGTCACCCTCAATAATCTTCCTGTGTTTTTTACATTGTCAAGAAATTATAATGTAATGTACTTTCAGATGAAATCTATTGGAACGAAAAATAATTTAGAATCTTGACTGACGAGTATTAATTTATTGTTTATTATTTATCGAGAGTATTTTTTATATTATTAAATTATTACAATTTTAATAATCAATTTCTTGTAATTTAATCATTGAAAGTTACAGCTTTGTATATAAAAAATACTTTTGTTATTAATTGTCTCAGATAAGAAAATAAGTAAAAAATTTAGAATAAATTAATGAAGATAATTTTCTTAACATAAAAATCTGATGATATAGAATATACAATTTCATTAAATAATTGTTTAAACAAATGAATTTAAGTTTACTTTTATTAATTATCCTTAAGAATAAATTATTTGGGATATAGTTAAGAGAGCAAAAAATCATTATACTTCGCTTGTATTAAATATGTTTTTGGCGCACCTTTTTACAATTGATAAAATTTGATAATGCTACTCTGGCCTTAATTTCTGTTTATTGATAATTTTGTAGTCTATTGATTAACCTAGTTTATTCCTCCTATCAATTACTTATGGCTTTTGCAAGGACCAGTTTGGGGCTATCACCTTTACATGCTTTCATGTCTCTTGATGTTACATTCAATGGGCCAAATTGTATCTGAGAAGTCTAAAATAACATTTAAACAGTATTACACTACTAGATGCCATATTGAACAGAAGCACTTACATTTACTTTCCATGTCTAAAATGCCAACAGATTTAGGTAAATTTTGTGTTTCCTATGGTTGGCCACATAGATGGCCCTGTCATTCGCTAACAATAGGTCTTCTTTTGCGCAGGTCTCTCTCATCTCTGTGCATGATAGTACATGGTGACTATTCTGAATCACGCCACACTAACAGGTGTCATCCTCCTGGTATCCCCATTTCTTCAGGTTACCCTATATACCCTAGCTATACAATAATATTTTATTTATTAGAAATTTTCAACCCTTACAACCACCCTTATAACAAAAATGAATTATAAAATATTTTTATCTGTTTGAAACATTTCTTGACTGCATTTTTTTTAACGAAAATTAATTTTTTGCATATAAAATAACTTTAAATTAATTTAATATATTTTTATTGGTCTGAAACATTTCTTGAGTGCATTTTATTAAACAAAAATTAATTTCTTGCTTATAAAATAACATTTTATTATAATTTCAACATTTCAACCCTCACAACCACCCCCTTTGTCAAAAATGAATTAAAAAATATTTTTAATGATTTGAAACAATTTTAGAGTGCATTGTTTATAGACAAAAATTAATTTTTTACTTATAAAACGAGCCTACTTTTTTCAACCCTTACAAGCACCCCTTTTGATAAAAAAATAGGGTCATACACAGAAAAAATTTAGTTTATAATATATTAGAATTTTTTTATTTTCCACAAAACTAAAAATAAATAATATTTATATAAAACTTGTTGAAATTTGTCCTTCTATCCGCGTAAATAAACTGTCTTGTTTGTTGGTTTTTGGGTTGGTCATTGGTGTAAATGTTGTATAGCATTGGCCCGAGGACACTTTCCTGTGCTAGTCCATTTTTTTTATCCCTCCACCGACTGTTCTTGAACTGAAGCGTTACATAGAAGTGTCTATTCTGTAGAAGACATTTCATTAACCTTGTTAGTCGGAAATCCTTTGTAATTTCATAGAGTTTTACCAGCAGCCGTTGATGGTTAACTGTGTCATATGCGGCAGTCCTATTTCTTCCTGTTCAAACCCATCTTCAATATGTTGGGTGAGATTAAGAGTTTGACTGTAGCAGCATTTTCCGGGTCTAAATCCTGCTTGTTCACAGATTCAGTGATCCGGTTCAGTATCATTCTTTCGAACGCCTTGAAAAGGTGACACAAAAGAGAGACAGGTCTAAAACTCTGTATCTGCCGGATCCTTTCCTGGTTGTAAGAGGGCCATCACTCTAGTTTTCCTCCAGATTTTGGGGATTTGGAATGTACAGACACAACAGTTCATCATTTTTATGAGCTACTATAGAGTTTTTGGTCCAAAGTGCTTTATTTGTTCTGTTCGTATATCGTCTAGGCCAGCCGCTTTATTATCTTTCATTTGGTGGATCGCACCTCTCATCACCTCCAGACAAAAGGAGGTACCTAGAACATCCTCTTCTTCGTCAATATTTCATTGTACTTTCACTTTGTTTTTCCTTGATGTCGTCTTATCATTTGTCAGGAGACGATGGGCTATCTGATCGGGTGTGACTTTTGTCAGTAATTTCCGAATTAATTTCCAACTGCACCTGCTGTTTTGTTTCATGTCTAGACTTGTGATCAGCTTGCACCATCTGTCCCATTCCTATTAAAAATAATAAATAAATACTGAGTGTTATGAACCTACAAAAATGTTTATTATCAATAAAACTTTCTTTTGTTTTGCTTATTATATCATATCTTATATGCGATTCTCCAGAACAATTGTTGTTTGCATAAATTAAAACAATTATCTAAAAATCATTGATCTAAGCAGTAATAGTTTTAACTGTTTATATACATTAAGCAATTAATATAATGTTTTGTTAATTTTAACTTTTCTTTTCAGATGGCAAACCAATGTTACGTCAAGGCGATACCGGTGACTGGATTGGTACATTTGAGGGTCATAAAGGAGCTGTTTGGGGAGTAGCCTTAAACAGTGAAGCTACAAGGGCTGCTAGCGGTGCTGCAGATTTCACAGGAAAAGTTTGGGACGCAATTTCTGGAGAGGAACTACACTCTTTCCAACACAATCATATTGTGAAAAGTGTAGATTTTTCTAGGGATTCTAGCTGTATGGTTACAGGAAGCAATGAAAAACTGGTGCGAATTTTTGATCTCAATAAACCAGAAGCTAGTAAGTAATACCTTATTTACATTTTGTAAACTTTATTTTTCTACTCGTTTATTAGTAAGAAGTCTATAATAGTACTCCATAATGTAGTTACAGAATTCCTTGATCGTTTATGGCGACAAAACTAGGAACTTATCTCATATAAATCTCATCTCATAAAAAAAATCAGGAATTTTGCTCTAAATAGTGTTGGTTTTACTAGCTGGTCTGAAATTCTTTAACATAGTCATATTCTTTAACATTCTCTACACGCACAACGTATAGCTGCGGGTACTAAATAGTTTACACCTTAATTTTTGCATTGTTATACTGTAAAATCGTAGTGCCGGACGGATTTGCTAAATGTCAAAGTGCTTGTTAAACATTTCTCGAGTATTGAACAATAAAAAAATAAAAAGCTATTAAACGCGTAAAAATGCTTAGAATACATTTCAATGTGCAAAGAACAAGAGCAATTTCCAAAATCGGATAAGGTTGGTCATTAAGACAAGTTGCTGCCAATTGTAACATATTTATAAGAATATATTCGACTCCATTAAATTATGCGCAGTAGTATGTAGAAAACACAAGAATGGATTAATATACACAAACATTATTAACAATTAGAAACACCTAAATAAGATATCTAACCAAAAGCCGGTAAAAGTAATATGGCAATGAACTGGCTACGTAGCCAGCGATGATGGACATGAAGACAGGACAAGAAGTATAGGGAGACCTCAAAAGAAATGGGTAGATGATATAAGAGCAATGGCGAGCAAACAGTGGATGAGATTGGCTTAAGGCAGAAAAAGAAGCATTTGGGAGATACCTACTTTCAGGAGTGGATGGATAAAGGTTGATGAAGAGATAGAGATTATTTTCATCGCCTTGTTTAACTTACAAGATTTCGTTTTTTTTTAGTAATGTTTGGTTCCACATTAAATCTTATTTTATAGAGTAGATATAGTACAACCACTCCTGACTACAGTGCGGCAGAAAAAATTTGGTGGTTCAGTTGCCCTCCATGGTTATTCGTTATGTTGACTTGTGTTGACTTTAACCAATTTGTTTAAATTTTCTCCCGTTTCTCTGTTGCTTCTCAATTTTTTATTAAAAACTGTCTTTGTCAAGACACATTTGTTTAATTCAGCAATTCAAAGTGTAAGTCTAACAATTATTACTTATCATTTAAGATTTGATAAATATATAATAGGATAGGTAGGTACTTTATAATAACTGAAAAGTTAGTAATATTAAGGAAATTTAAATAAAATTCCTTCATTTATTTAATTTCTTGAGACTGGTGAAAAACAATAAAAATGGTTTTAAATAAAAAAAAATATATTAAAGAAGGAATGAGAGTCTCCGCTTTTTCATCTCCTTTAGGCAGCTGGGGAAACGTCTTTAAATCTCCCAGAAAGAAAAAATTAATTAGTCAAAACCAAAAAAAAGATGTTTATGACGAAAAAATTATAAGAAACACAGTTCATACCTTTGCAATAATTAATGGCAGCAGACCTACAATGTCAGCTGTATTAATTTCCAAGGAAAATTATCGTCGTTCAGACAAGTAGTGAATAAATTAAGTTTTAAATGGCACAAAACCAAAGACAACTGAAAAATACTGATGGAAAAAATGGATATTCAAGCCAAAAGAACAGACTAAGAAAAATAAAAAAATATAGAGCATAGCATTATATTATCTATACTGATGAAACGTATCTCCACAGCAATCATATAACATCTAAATCATGAGGTGGTTCAAACAACTGTTTAAAGGCTCCTGTTGCTAAAGGTCAAAGGTTAATTATTGTGCATGCCGGAAGGGAAAAAGGCTCCAAATTGCCTCCTAATCTTCAAACCTGGTCAGCGTAGTGGAGATTATCATAACGGTATGCTTTACAATATGATATGACAACTTTACAAAATGGCTTCAAGAAAAGTTAATTCCCAACTTACACCAGAAAACCGTGCTTTTATTGGACAACGCAGCCTACCACAACGTTGCCTGTGAGGCGGCTCCTTCAGTGGTCTACGCAATATGGGTTATTATAGTTCCACTTCCAGTACCTTCACAGTAACGTCGCCTTCGCGCAGTTCTATGGTCACCAGCAAATACAAGTACAAGTACTCTACCAGATAGCGATCATTTCCTATGATCGTGACGTCAGATCAGTCGATTCTTATATCGATTATCTATTTAGATCGTATAGCTTTATTTGTGACTACATTATTGAACTTTGGCCTCCCGTATTTTCAATTTTTTTATTTAATTTTAAATATTATGATAAAATAAAGTGTTGTTTACTCTTAGCTCGTATGTTGTGCGGAATTCGACCATCCTTTCTCGGTTCTCGTGATTAGTTCTCTCTCTAAATATTTGTTTTACATTGTACAAATAATTTTTATATAATTGTAAATATTACAATTGCTGGTTGTTTTTACACTCATGAATGTATTTATTATAGTAACACCAGCAAATATTAAATTTATTTTAGATATAATAATAATAAGTAACGAAATTTATCAATTGGTTTATACCTTGATACAATAATTATACAAACATGGATAATAATTGTACTGATTAATGGTATCTCTACATTTTCAACTCTATAATTGGAAAGCAATGCTACGATTTTTCTCGTGCTGTGATTACTAAAAATTGCGATATAGATTGTTGTTTATTTCGAATAAAATTAAAATACTTGAACAAGGAATGTAAAAATAATGCAACGTGAGTTGATATTTATTTATTATTTTATTCTTTAATTTATAAACAGTATTCTAAATTATTTTAATTTATTTGCATTAACACTAGAAATATGTAGAAACTACATAATTTATACTATACATTTATTTATGACTTACAGTAGGAGTTTATAATTCGGACTGATCTTAACACGTTAAGCCCAATGTGCACCACACTGGTGCACAGCACGTTTTTACCACAGACCATGTGTACCAATTTGTCCTCAATAGGGTATCATGTTTAAGAGACTGTGGCCACGTGAGAAACGTAGTTTCTGTGTTGTTATATGATGAATTAAACAGGTCTGGTCTATAGAAAACGGAAATCTGTCTTGGTCCGGTAAAACCTGCCTGCAGTTTTTGTAGGTTGGGAGTTTTGTTGACGTTTGTATTTCACTGTGGTATCATCGTGTGCGACAATTTTATTCATTTCCTGTAGTAGAAAAGTATTCATATCTTCGTTTAATGAACAAAAAAGGATTATCAGAAGATGAACTTCTTCGAATACTAGAAGAATCTGATTTCAGTAATTATAATATATCGGATTATGACTCTGATGCTGATCTTGCTTATCGAGAGAATGACAGTGATCAACTTTATTCGTGTAGTGATAAAGAAACTAGACCTAATAATTCTATTGGTAAAGTGGTAATAGGTAATTGATTTCGCTCACAGTGCAGATTGGTGTCTTCATTGTTTTCTTACTTTATAGAAAGAGATGACGATGTTTAGTAGACCAAGAATTAAACCAGTTTGTATGCTTCTTCATTTGCGTTTTTTCTTTGGATAAAGTTTCTTACAACGTTTAAAGCACTTTCCACATCTTGTCTATTAAGACCTTCTTGCGTATATTCACCGCGATTGTCTTCTCCATCTTTATCCTTTCGACACTGACGATAACGCGCTCCGCCGGCGGATTTATTACTTGTGCGATAATTTCATTATCCGTCGGGAGATCACAAACAATGACGTCATCATCAATGGCAATGAATTCAGCAAACTCGTCATCATTGTTCAGTTAGGTTAGTTCTTGACCTTGCTGTTGTAACCTCAATCACTCTGCTACAGGATACTCATTTTCTTCGTTTTCTACTTCAGTCTCTGTCCACCCCGCATGACCTAAACATTTTCTGATGTTTTTTTTTATCTATGTGTCCATGTTTGTAGTTGAAATTTATGGCATCCAATAAAGTAACAGGGGATTCACAATGGTTTTCCACATTATTGAGGATTATTAAGTGACCTTATGATGCCCTGATCCATCGGTTGCAGAACATATGTGCAATTTGGGGGTAAAAAAAGAAGTTGAATTTTTTTTAAACTGTTAGCTTTCGGATGGACTGTACAATTGTCAACAATTAAAAGAATCTTTCGATGTCCCAACTCTCTGTCCCACTTCAAAAGTTCTCCACTAAAAATCTCTGCTGTCATCCACGATTTTTTATTAAATTTATATGTGAATCAACAACCTATTCATACCTTTGAGATTGCCCAATGACGATTAACTTCCTTTTTTCGGAACTGGACATGTTGGCACACGCGACTACATCTACCCTTTCTTTTGATAACTTGCCACCTACACAGCAACGTTCATTTTTTAATTTGAGGGTCTTATCTGGTGTAAGTTTAAAAAAAAAGTCCCAGCTCGTCGGCATTGAAAACATTATTGTCACTGTAATTTTGTTTTATTGTAATCCATGACTTCAACCAGTTGTCGGTGACTTCTTTGGAAACACTTTTCGCTTCACCGCAAATTTTTCCACACGTAATTTCATGCCTGACCTTAAAACGGCTCATCCACCCAATCGATGCTTTAACATTCTCATCACCAACTAGCACCTGCGAAAACTGTTTTGCTTTTTCTTGAAGCAGTGATCCACTTATTGGAACATTCGCAGTCCTATTTATGATAAACGATTTGACCATTACAGTATCGAGCTCTTAATTAGTTGCGACACGTAGTTTTGTCGATTTACATGGAAAAAGATGAACCTACTTCGAAAATCTTGTTTGTTTTTGAGCATGGTAAATAGAGTGGAACTTGAAATACCTCTTTCACGACAAACTTCTACTTTCTTCTTACCGTTCTCAACATCTTTAAGGATGTTAATTTTTTCTTCTAAGCTAAATGCTTTTCTTTTAAGAGTTAGAGTGTGTAATCAATGTGACGATGTAATCTACAACACAACTTTCAAGACGCGAATGCACAATCAGGAAACAAATGATAAACATCTACGACAAAAATAACTGTGAAACGAAATTCTGGTGAAATTTGTCACATTTGTCATATTTTAAGCCTCTTTACGCTCCTTTACACTTGTGAAGCGTACATTGCAGATTTCCGACAACACACTATCGGTCGGTAGATTAATCAGAAGAAGTTTATTGCGGGCGGCAGTTAAAAAGGGTATTTATTTAAGGCCACTGCCGAGCCAAAAACGCAAAAAACTCTTTTTTCGATCTTATATTCTCTTGTTATAACCAAATTTACCTCGCTATAAAAGGTTATAGTTTAATAGAACTTTCACGGGACATCTAATGTTATAGAGGGAGTATACTTTAGTAATTTCTTTTCATCGACTTGTTTTGGTATATGTTTTTCAGCTCAAAGTTGTATGTACTCCTCCTTGTTTTCATCCAAATTTTTGCCTCAAATTATAGTCAGCTAAATTGTAAAAGACCTTTAAATGCTTTACCTATAACTTAATTTTTATATTTCAGCATCATGTTTACTAAATTCTACAGTTGATTTAAATTTTTTATTAACTTTTTTTAGGTCCAGAAGTTTTCAGTGGACACACAGCGGGTATAAGGCATGTGCAGTTTTTTAGAAATGATACTCATCTTATTTCTTGTGCTGATGATAAAACGTTGAGAGTGTGGAATCGAGGAACGGGAACGGTAACTAATGTTAGATAATCATATTTTCATAATTTTTTACGTATTTGTTTTAGGAAGTCCAAAAAGTTGATTTTAGTTCCACTCCTAATAGTCTTGAAGTGTCGAAAGATGGAAGTGTTTTAACTGTAACTTATTCAAACCGTGTGATTTTCCTAGACGCTGAAACTTTAACAAAAATTAGAGAATTTTCAATACCATCCACTGTAAATTCTGCTTCCCTTCATCCCGACAAAAGCATTTTTGTTGCCGGAGGGGATGATTTGAAAGTTTACAAATTTGATTACACTACTGGAACTGAAATAGAATCTTTCAAAGGTCATTTTGGACCCGGTAAGTATATTCAGAAATAAAATCACTTTTACTTCTAAGAAATGCAACATAAAGGTAAAAAATGTAAAAAGATCATAAAGTTTTTGTACAAATTTCTTCTTTACCCTAAAACAATACATCGACATCAGTGTCGTTGTTGACCATCATGTCGCAGATTTATCAACAACTCATGGTAAATTGGAGGTACGTAGTTGAGTAACTATATTTAGCTTGCTTAATGAGGGGCCTTTTCCCAATCGGTACTGACAAGAGATCTGGCAGAAGGACAGAGTTTTTGTCAGCTCTGTTAGTTTTGATAGCTCTCTAAACTCTTCTTTACTACCTTCAGCTGTTTTATTGTAAAACAGAATTACAGCTCGTCTTCTGTCTCGGCGATTAATGCGGCGTAGTCTGCATAACATAATATTTGGATTTCTTTGTTCCCCATTATGTAACCATGACCTTTACGTACTGCTTGTATTATTTCGTCCATTATTATATTAAAGAGAAGTGGACTTAACGAGTCACCCTGTCTGACTCCGCTGTGTACTAATATACACTGTGTTAGTTTTCCATTTATCTTTGCCTGTATTCGATTATGGAAGTAAAACGCCTGCCTTGAAGATTTGACCGTTTCGTCAACCCACACATAGGATTTTGTATGTCCTGAATTTAGCCATGTTTCGTCTAAATAATAATTTTTTTTATTTTGTTCCCGAAATTTTTATATGGATTAAGAAATTTCATTTCCACAAAATAATATCGCCTCGATCTAACAAAGCAGCATTTCTACCCCCCGTTCTTATTTAAAATCAAGTGATTTGAGAAGTTTATAAAATGTAGTGCTTTTAAAATTCGGTAAGCTCTCATCCTCGTTAACAGCTAAAAGAACTTATTGTATAGTGGGTATTTCGTTTGTTCAATCACTAATTAATTCCTTAATTTGTAATGTCACATTATTCTTAACTTCTTAATCTTTTATAGATTCACCGTGTATAAGTGAGTCATTGTAAAACCATATCGTATAATATTTTAAATAGTTCATTTACCTACAACTAAATAAATTGCCGAATAATATATTTTCTAATTGAACTTCCTAAGTGTTGCAATTACGGCCTAGATTCAATTGTAATGTAAGCTAATAGTTCAAAGTTTTTTGGTATGGTATTATAGAAGCAATAACCTCTGTGCTGAGGTATGAATTATTTGTGAGATTATAAATTTTGGATTTGAGCTCATGTGAGTACAGTTTATTATAAGTAGTTACCTAACCAACATCATATTGTGTAATTACTAGTAGCTGTGAATAAAACCAGCACTTTTACTCAACAACTTCAACTTTTTATTATATTTATCATCGTCAATCGACAAGAAGCGGACACAGGGACATTATAAAACAATTCGAACCTCATAACTACGATCGGATCTTTCCACGTTAAAAAAAAATTGGTGTACAGTTCGTCGAATGGCATATTTATCGGTATCATCAATTTTTAGATCTAATATAGATCTCTAATCTATATTAGACCTATAGATATAGGTCTAATATAGATTTCTTGAGTTTAGTCTTCTTCGAAGAAGAAAATTTTCCGGTATTTTTCTGTTCTTAATTCTGTACACAGAAGCTTCACCTACTCCACAATAAAAAGCTGTCTGTTTCATTACTTCCGATACCAAAGCGTTTGGATGCGATTGTATTGTCGATGTATAAACATTATAAATATCACTTTTCTCCGTACTACTAAAAGAACGTATTTTTGATCGCTTTTTTTGGGGTAACTTTCTCCGCAGTATCTGTAGATGGGACATTTTAAATTACAAATTAGATCGGACAACCTTGAAAAGTCTTAATCAAACTAAAACACTACTACATACACTTTAAATTAGCAAACAAATAATTATATGCACAAATAGTGCATTTATTAGAACGAAATGCCTAAAGTAGAAATTTAATGCCGAAAGAAACGTTAAGAAAAAGTTACACGCGCCTACTCTACTGATAGCCTGATACTAAACAAAACAAGTCTAGTCCTGAGACTATAGATCACGCCGCTTTGTTTACATGGACTATCGCGGCTCGCTAAAAATATTATAGACATGAACCATTGAGAAAAAAGACAAAAGAGGGAATCTAATCGTTATGAAAAGGAAACCAAAAAAGTAGCCTCTGATGGTGGACATATCCGGAAATTCAAATGCGCCAAATTTAAATTTTCCGACACTTGTTAAGAGTAGCTATAAAATAGTTTTCAGAATGTGTCTTAGACGAGAAAGTTTTAATTAAATATTAACGTTAACAGTCTAAAATATGAAACAATTGTTAAAAAACTTAATACAAATAAGATTTCATGTGACAGTTGGGACAGACACTAACATAAACAACTAAATTTGATTTTTTAAACAAGGAGACTCTGTTACCTTGTTTAATTTGGCCTCTCAAAATGGTACTTCCTGTCTAACAATATTTTTGCCCCCACTACCTTTACATTCCCTCTTTTGTCTTTTTGCTCGATGATATGAAAATACAGGCACAGGGACGGAGCTACTTCTAAGTCGACTTAGAGTATAACATCCAAAAAGAACTATTTAAGGTTTATTAATTCTATATTTTGTTGCTATAGTGATAATTATGTTAATGTAATATGTATTTGACTTATTTCAGTTCACTGTGTTAAATTCTCTCCCGATGGTGAGTTATATGCATCTGGGTCCGAAGATGGTACATTGAGGTTGTGGCAGACTACTATTGGCAAAACTTACGGCTTATGGAAATGCGTTGATGGTCAAATGAACAACGATCCTCTTTCTCCGCCAAAAGAGGTGCAAGCAAACTAAAGAAACAGGCGACTATTTATTAATTTTTATTTTTGGTTAAAATAAGGAAATTTAAAATATTTTATACTTGGATACTACATCTTTTTACAAATTTAAAGATTTTGGTAATTATGAAGTAAGCAAAAAATTCAACCATCGGTATTTTGCTGTACATTTTGAAATAAAGAACAAAACTTGCAACAAGTTAAGACATGTAAAAGAGAAGTGAAATTTTTTTGTAAATATCTCTTGACTTGCGTATGTTATTAAAATACTTATTTAGAGTAAGTCTTATTATTTTAAAAATTCCCAAAATACTAATATGTCACCAAAATAATGATAAGAATGTGAGGTACGTATAACTTTATATTTTGCGTTCAGTTTTTTCTTTGGAGGTTGCCGACCAGCATGATAATTCTAACTTTAGATACTGCCGCACAGTCCAAATCAACGTTGTAGATGGCACAGCCTGGTATCTTTACGACCTGCTACAAATCTGTCTTCTAAAGCTCAGAAGAGAATAGGAAATGCCGAAAAAGTCTTAATATCAATTAAACAAAATTCAAATCTGCACATCCAAGTGGTATAAGACGAGAGCAAAGTCCAATTCGATGTCTAACGCAAATAGGGACCGAGTGATTTCCGATATAAGTAATCTTCCATTTACTGACCAATGATTCCAGACGGACTAGTTTGCCTTTATCATTGTAAATTTATTATTATCCAAGTAAAGTTAAACCATATAGTGGATTATATCATATTCAATATCAGTAATATGTTTTTCCGCAAATCGCCAGGAAATTTTGACATTCCTGTCAAAATTTCTTGAAGAAAAAGTCAGGACTTCCTTACTGTAAGGAAATGTCATTTCCTTACTGTAAGGAAATGATATTTCCGTACAGTTGTTAGTGTTCGACATAAATGATAGAAAACACATTGCTTATAAGGAATTAATTTATATTTTGAAAACATCAAGTCATTGCTGAATACATTTTTAAGATCAATTTGTTACATTTACAGTAATTTGACAGTACAATTATTGAACATTGGAGGAACACTCTTAGAACTATGAGAAACATTTTGGACAACATGCAGGGTGGAAGTGTCATTTTGTTGAATATTTTGTACTGTGAAAATTTTATTTGCCACCTCAACCTTATTGTTAAGCGATTCTTCGATATATCCTTCAGCAACGTTTGATGACTTCCATCCGCCATGCCTCTTTAAACTAGTTATGTCGGCACCAGAGTCAACCAATATTGTTGCAGAAGACCGACGAAAGCAGTGACCAGTATATTCTGTCGGATTTACCAAGTTCAAATAAGTAGCAATTATTTTGGGCATTTTTCTAAATTGATGAATTCCTACCACTTGTCTACAACCCTTTCCGCTTTAATATTTAAAGAAAAATCGGTCACTGTTCATATTTTCTGGTCTTAACGAAACATACTTTCGATAAACATTCAAGTAGATCTGATTAATTACAAATGATCTTGGTTTGTTGGTTTTCGAATCAGGTATGCTGATTAAAAGCTTAGATTCTAAGTCTTCTATATCGTGTACAGTCATTCGGACTAACTCATCCATTCTACAGGCCCCAGAAATACCAAATATTACAGCCACCTAAAAAATAAATAAAGCTATAATCTAAATAGAAATTAAAACCTTGTAAATTACCTTAATCATTAAATTTTCTTTATCTGGAGCTTCCTGGATAAATTTTTCAATTTCTTCCTTCGTTAAAATTTTATTTGCCCTATAACCTTGAGCTTGCCGTTTCAATAAAGAACGAAGTTTTGAGTATGTAGATATATCTACATTGTGTTTAAGTGCAAGGGTTGACTTCAGCATTGAATAATTGGCCCATAATGTTGAAGATTTCATCTTTAAACAAAGGTCTAGGAAGTATGCCATTACAACATTTTCTGAGAAAGAACTCGTATTTTTACTCATGCGATAATCCATAAAACGTCTGTATGCATTTTCGTACTTTTCTCTTGATTTCTTTGGCAATAATTCTAATGAAGCAGTATTCACTGCCTCAACCAGCTCTGGAGGAGTCCCAGGAATGGAAATTTCATCATCACTTATCATTTTACTTTCGAGAACACCAGCAATTAAATTTATAACAAGTTTGACAATTCAACCTCAATACGTTTCCGTAGTAACCCAAGTAATTTTATTAGGAATTTCAAAGCACCATTTATTTGGGAATAAAATTATCGCGTTTTTTTAAATCAATCAATATCTGTCGAATTTTAAACGATTTGTGGAAAAATAGTATGTTTACCTCGTAGGAAAAGCCACATTCCTGGACTCTGTGTTGCTAAGTCTCGGCTTGCGCCTCGACTTAGCAATCTTCACAGTCGTCCAGGAATGTTAAGCTTTTCCTACCCGGTAAACAATGTACTATTTATAATACTACCTAATACAGTTACCAACCTGATACGGTACTTAGAAAATCGGTGAACTAGAAAGAATCCCGAGAGTCTTTCCATTTTTATTAACAAAAACAAGTTAAGAAATGGGTTTTATTATACAATCTTGTGTTAGAAAATGCTCTAGAGCTAAGTGGCCAACATTTTCAACAAACGGACCAAATTTTAGAGATTTTCTAGCGGACCGGACAACAATTTTGTTTCAACAATAAAACTCCACAAAATTTATTTAAAACTCATCACTACAGCTGTTTCGGCTGATTTCCTTTCTCGAGTGACCTATTTTTGGCATCCGTTTACACTTTATAGTCTCTAATGAAATATATTGAGGAGGGGAGAACTGTTTGTCTCAAGTTGGTCATTCAGAACTATATCTGTGCTTTATAATTTGTTGATTTTCATAGCTTCTAACAAAGATAGCTTAAGCTATTTTTAATGTGAAGTACGTATATAGAATCTGTTTTCTAATATTGAAATCTCTCTTATGTTCTGCTATTCGTTTATTAAAATTTCTACCAGTTTGACCGATGTAAGTTTTTGGGCAGTCGCCACATTTAAGTTTGTAAACACCACTGTGAAGTGTTTTTTATCTCTTGATGTTTTTAATATTTTCTATTAGTATTATTTTATTTACTATTTAGATTGTTTACTATTAATATTGGCTATGGGTACGTGTGCTTGGTTGTATAGTAATTTCCAGCCACTTTTAATGTGTCAAAAAGTAACTAACTTCGCAAAAAAATAATTACCAAATTCACTAGACAGTTCAGACTGGGAATAGCGAACCGAGTATACCAGCTCTAACAAATATTTTAAAACCCCATTTTTTTGGTTTTAATTTTATGTACTGTCGTCGTGAACCAGCCTTTTTCCCTCTATATGGGACCATCATCTCGTCGATACTCTGACGTTTTTCTTCTTCTATAATACAATAATTTCTTCTCACTATGTCCAAAACTGGGCGAATGTGGTAGTACTGATCGTTGTTTATATGATCGTTATTAGCGAAGTGAATATACCGGCGAATTTTCTGATATTGTTTGAGAGGCATTATTTCTGAGATTTTATCGTATCTGAGGTTTACACTCCATTAGTCCAAGTGGCATAGCTACTATGCCCATCAAAATCTGTATCGCTATGAAGTCACTTATCTCACCTTTAGTACCGCTTATCGACTTTGCGGCTGTTGGCTGAACGGAATAAAGGCTTGTATTGTTAACAATGAACTCAAATAGATCACCTAAAAAAAAAATTTGAAATATTCTAATGGTGACGTTAATTCATTCACCACAGAAAAGTCATTTTCGGGAATGTTCACAGGATATTGAAATTCGTTGTTCGTCCAGTGGTATTCAATCAAATTCTGTCCGTTTACTTTTAGGTTGGTTAGTATTGTCGTTAATCTCTTTAGATGGTCCAGGTATCTGATGTTGTAATCGTGTTTTTAGAGGATTCGAAGCAGATTTAGGTATACTGTAAATAGATTTAGCTGTACTATAAGCAGATTGATGTATTGATAGCTCCGGTTTTGAATTTTCAGTTTCAGATACTGAATTTGTCGTGAAAGTAGTTCCCGATATATAGATAGTGTAAACTCGTCGTAAAACACTGTGTATGTATTAACCTGCTGTAGATAGATGTGACTGGGATTTAAGTACCAAGAAATCAATACGGTAAAAGCAAAACCTACTAATGAATTTAATCAGTTCATTTTATTTTCGTCGAAAATTGACCAATGCACCAATGGCTGATGTCCTATTCGATAAAAACCCAAAATAACTCTCCAAATAAAATTCAAAGCTGGAACAACTTACTTTATTAAAAAAAATACTTAAAGATAACATTTTAATCGGTTTTAACTTCCGATGTGCTTTTATTTTCAGACTCATTGCCGTTATGTTGATCAGACTCAACATCATTGGACTTGCGCACCTCTTTTACGTCCCCATGGTTTACTTCTTCTATAACACATCTTCCTTCTGTCTCGTCTTGGCAGTAATTACTGGTAACAACAGAAACTGACGGATCACTTTCGGTAGCTGGTATAATTTTTGGCTTCTGTCTATTGTTGTATACTGGCAATTTTCCTCTAATAATATTTGGGACTATCGGATAACGTGGCGGAAACATTACCTGCGTGCCGTGAGGAGGAATTCCACGGGGATAAAAAGGAGGATAAAATCGAGGAATGTAACCTCGAATCATTCCAGGATGAGGATGCAACCAAAGATCTGGAGTAGCAATTCCCTAAAATATATAAAAATTTATTAGTTATTAAAAATTGTTATTTGTCAAGAAACAATGTACAGACGCCTAATTGTGGTACGGTAATTAATTAAATACAAACAGTTACCGATAGACAGTTTTAAAAATTTTTAGATTTATGATAACAGATCTCAGCTACATAAAATGAATATTCTTGAAAATTCTACTGCAAGTCGATAATTTTTTGTTTTAGTTTTTTAGCATTGTTATGGCGTTTGACGTTTTCTTGGGGGAGAAATACATGTCTGATCGGAGTGTCAAGACTCTATAAACAAATAGGTTGAATTTTAATACATTCCCTACTTAAATTCCACTCATTTGTTCCAACAGTTTCACTCATTCCATCAGCTTCCTTTGGTTCTGGGACATTACAGTAACTGTCATGAAACAATTTTCGTTTTCAAAAAGCATAAAATTGTCCACATTATTATAAAAGTTATTAAGTAGTCTGCATTATTTAGCAAAACTTTTCTTATACCATTTATTTTTCTTGAAAAAACGTTTGTACCTCTTCCTCTTCTTATATCCTTATGCTTTTTCTATTCTTTAAAGGAAAAGATCTGGGGATTGAAACTTGGTATATTCATTATAGCGCCAAAAAGAATCCTCTTTTTTTTCTAGATAGAAAGGTCCTAGATTTAGAATTTGGAACATGGGTTTTTTTTAAAGGAAGCTTTTTTCTTAAAGGAAAAATCCTACATACTTGAAATTTAGTACATAATCTGCTCGTGGTGCAAGAAATAAAGAACACTATTGAATTCGGAACTAGAACAAGTTTTGTTCTCATATTCTTATGCAGCGTGAAAACCACTTGGGGTTTATAACAAACGTGAAGAGAGAACGGTATCATAAAGTTTGGAGTTTGGTTTCAAAAAGGTTTAGGTACACAAGACGTTATTTTTGCATGCAATTATTGGTGCAAACATGCTTTGACCAGAGGAGGGATGTCTTTATTGGCTTTATCGGTTCCAAAAAAGCGTTTGTCAATGTAAGACATGATGTATTAATACAGACGAAAAGATCTGAGGATGATCAAACATCTGTACTAGAATTAAAAAGCAGAATAAAGGAATAAAGAGTATATATACACAACAAGTAGAAATAAGCAAGAGCTGCATCCTCTCCTATCTGTTGTAATATTTATGTAGAAAAGATCTTTCAACTTGTACAGCAGAATGAAAAAGATATAAAAATAAACTGAATACATGGGTCGACCATATTACAAATGAAGTGGTTTTAAGAAGAAGAATACCCAAAGAGAGCTTCTAAACATCGTTAAACAGCGAAAGGTCTCATATCTAGGCAATATTTTAAGTCATTACGTAGTATATTACAGAGTGATTCACACATATTTTCACTAAATTAATTTTTACAGTTATGATTTAACTAACAGTATATATTGTATCAACTCTCTTAATTAAGGTTGCAGTTGTTTGCTTGATTATTTGAACTTTTATTTTAATTTTTTGTATTAGGTGTTCATTCTTTGTTTCATGTTGTTTTCGTTGAAACAAATACCTATACAGTCTGATGATGAGACATGTATTATAAGCTTCGAAACCGGTAGCCTACAAATTCTACTACAATAAAAAACTTACGTAAGATTATCAGGATTGACTTCTCATATACATCTCATATACATTAATAATTATGTATTAAATATTGATTTACCTCATAATAACCAAAATCTAATCCTGGTTCTCTAAATTGAGACATATCCTTAGATTTTGGCGATCTACTTCTGGTCCTCCTGCGATCTCTATATCTTCTGTCTCTGTCATATTCAGGACTCCTACTATAACGTTTTCTAGCTGGAAAATTCATAAAATCATCAAAATAGTTTTACCTTATTTTATAGAGTGCAAGAACTACAACTTCATTCTTAATTAGGATCTTTTTGCAGCATTAAAAAAAAATATTTGGGTAAAATCGAAAAATATACCAGAACATTTTTGATAACCAGAGGATAGTTTCCAGTCTATATAGTCCTAAATGCATTTCTTTTTATTTTTTGAGTCTTAACGTATTATTTTGTATATCATTCCACTACACTAGTATTAACTTATAGATAATCAACTCACTATATTTTTACACATACACATTATGAGAAAACCACTCACCTCTAGGGCTGAAATCATTTGGTCGAGGAGATCTACTTTTTCGTCGAGAATATCTATCATATTGAGCTGATCCATAATGTTTGGGCGAAGAAGATCTACTCTTTCTTTCATATCGTTCAGGTGACCTGGAGCTTCGCCTCCTTTTAGACGATCGTTGCGGGGATCGTGATTTTCTCCTGGGAGATGATGGCGATCGCTTTCGTGAAGTAGAAGGTCCGTCAGTAGAAAGTGATTTACTACGTCTAGATCTAACATAAAAATTAGTATTAGTAGGTTTATTTTCCATATTTATAATATGTTATTACGAATAAAATACATAACAATAACGTTCAACACAAACAACCATAATACATGGGAACTTTTGTGTATTTAATAAGCACCTATAGAAATTCTCATATGGTTTTGCCCTTGCATGCCTTACGTTCTTATGTGTTTTCGATGCTGCTCAGAAAGATGACAAAGGAAATGGAAATCATGAATACGATTAAGATAAGAAAGTTACAGTATCTCGGCCACGTTATGTGAGGGGATAAATATGTGTTGCTACAAATCATATACAAATCATAGACTCGAGGTATAATCTACTATTACTTACTTATATCCCTCCCTCTCCCTGGATCGTCTCTTTAAAAGATCTGGATGGTTGGGACGATATTCACCTGGTCTTAACGGAGTAATAGATTTTTTCCTCTCACGATGACTATCTCGATCTCTGGAATGAGATCTGCGTTTTTCATATTTCTTAGGAGATCTACCCCTATCTGCACTTCGTCTTCTATCTCTACTTCTGCAATTCAAAATTGTGAAGTGTTTAGAATTAGATTTAAGTTTGTAGTTACGAATAGTATACATGTGAAACGAGAAATGGCGTTTAAGTAAATTTTTGGAAATAATTGGAATTATTTCTACACAGACAAGATAATTTTTATTATTCAATAGCTTTCCTGGCTTCATTGATCATATCAGTGATTGTATAAATTATTGCAGAATTACTATTTCAAGGGAGTTAAGATGTTATGTGGTTTTTCGCTTCCTCTAGTACAGGCAACACCAACTCTTGACAGACTAAATGAGGAACGTTCTATTAATGCATAGGTCAAGTGTTCATAAGATATAACCAAATAAACACCCGCGGATTAATTCAGAATATGACATAGCGGTTGCAGTTATGCCGTTGCTTGTAGATTTATGGATTGAATATTAACAGACACACTAACACATGCACACACCCACCTGCACCATGCTCAATCAGCAAATCACCAGACTGCAGCACCACAACTTGCTTATCAGATGGCGAGATTTATACTGCTACTATTGCACGAATGCATGATATGGGGCAAAAGTGTTGCCCTAACCTTAAGCGATGCGCCTTGAAAAACTGGCGAATTCTGGGGAACAATACAGTGACTGTACTCAGACGAATCTTCAGCACAGTAAGACAGAACTTAATGTTTCTATAGTAAAAAGATAATGTACACCATAGCCGGTTTGGGATTCAATTCTGATAACTTTATTACTAGTGGACCAGATAAGCAGGAATATTTTACTAGACATCTTTATATTATAGTATTTTACTGCTCTTTTGCGTCAGTCAAACATGTTTTATTGATTTTTGTTTAATTTCTTGTTGTGACATATAAAATATGTTTACTAAATAATCAAAGTTATGCATTTACATCTAATTTTCGTATTCATGATATCAATGCACCACTATAATGTTTTCACGAATTTACCTTTCTCTATCTGAGCTTCTACTACTATATTTTCTTTCGCTGCTTCTATCTCTCCTTCTGCTTCTATCAATACTTCTACGTTTATTTACAAGTCTATCTACACTCCTTCTACTTCGACTTCTCGATCTGCTCCTTGAATGCCGCCTTGAGTAGGGGCTTCTAGAATCCGATCTACTGTAACTACGCGATTTGGAATGTTCGGTTTTTTTTCTACCAACGGGCTGTTCTTCTTCTTTGTTTACGACGATGCCTTCTCGATCAAAAATAGATCTTGGTATACGTTTATTATCTGAAAATGTTGGTAATGTTTTTTGATTTTATTTAACAAAATAATAATTAATTAAGTAATAAATAAAGTTTAGGTAAAAGGTTAGCAAAAGTATCTTCTTATGACTTCATTCTTCTTTTTTCTTCACATTGATCTTCTTTCTTGGTTAAATTGCTTCATGTTATAATCTTTATAATTAATGAATTTCATTTACAAAAAATTTGGCGAATATTTTAAATAAAGAACACATTAAAATGTCGTAGTTTAAATTTTGACTTTTTTACCGTTATGAACGTTATTACGAGTACAAATCATATTAAGTTATTAAAAGTATCATAATATTCTAAACTAGTCTTTTATTTAACGTTAAAAAAATTAGATATTGATTTTCTTCCTCTAAAGTAATCTTGCAGAGCTGCCAGAACCTATATTTTAAAAAATTAAAATACTTTACGTCATATAATTTTTAACAGCAGAGAAATATCAAAATAATTTTTAATGGTGTCATAAATAACCTCATCTCACTTAATAGGATATAAAAGTACTTAATATACACGCCAACTATGAAGAACTAGCGTCCAACCCTTACTGTTGACACCGATCACGATACTTCATTAAAAATATCCCCTGTTTCTCAGTAATAATCAGAAATACGAAACATGCACTGGTCGGTTCTTTCTAGCTGGGAATTACTATATGAAGCGTATAAAAGCAAAACCAGACATTTGACATTTTTTTTAAAACGAGCTATACAGTGTAGGTAAAAGTTTATGGTCGGTATGGTAAAATTTAACAGGATATTTAACACATATAAGATAACAATCATATTTCCCCTTGGTCTCTCCTCCATAAATCTTATTGACGCCCATTGCCCATTAGTGATTCCGATCAGAGATATTTTACATATTCTTTGGTTCCGATCCTAATATAGCTAGGAAACTAGAGGAGCGTCCTCTAAATTTTTAAATTTTTATCGGAACCGTTTTTCGTAAACTGTAACTAGTTGATTGTTTACCAGTATTCAAATTAGCGAGTACATAAACATATTGGCTATTATCGTTTATGTGTATAAGTATGGAAGTGAAAGAACCTAACGAAGGATATATTTATTATAACTTGAAAAATAAATTAAACAATACAAATAGTATAGGTTATTCCACGAATATACGACTGTTTGGAATTATTGCTACAACGAATATTTTACTGTACAAGTAGAAGTATAAAAGTAAATTGGTCTAATTATTATTCCATAAAAAAGGATCTTCTGTTACTATGACATATAAACTAAAATTATTTCAGTTAGTAGATGTTCATATAGGCGCAAAAATTTATTGTGAAAATTAATCCGAAAATAACAAAAAAATTTACCTAAACGCTCCTACAAATAAATACAATGACCTCTATGAAGTTAAAATGTGTTCATCAGCCATTTGGGTTGGATTTTGGTAAAATGTAAACACCAAAGAGGCGCGCCGGGTATCTTTATTACTTTATTAGGTAGGTACTACAACGGTAATAAAAAGATATATATTATTTTTAATATAAATAAAAAGAAATTGACAGAACGATGGTTCAGAAACCAGAAAAAGAATCTGGTATTCCACTTTGTTAGTTTTTTGTTTGCTTTGAGTGGATATACTCTTAAAAGTTCCGAAAGTAACGGGTATAACATGGCGGCTATTGATAGTTAAAGTACCGAGTCATTACAGATATTAAAAAGTAACGAAAATTTACATACAGTTTCATAAATCGCCGACTGATTTTAGTTTTAAAAACCGTCTGTATTGAGGTGTCCGGTGAAGAGACGTGTCCGTTAAGAGAGAGTTTAGTGTAGTGTATTTGTTTGTAATGGTGATTAGGAGAGTAAGAGTAGTAAGTTTTTTTGTTTTTTTAATAGGTACTTATTAAATATTCGACTAAATAAATTAAACTATTTATTCACTTAAGTATTGTTACACTTCGTTTAAATCACTGAATTCAAAAGCCAACTTGTTTACAATACTAAAGTCAATGAGAGTAATTATACAAGTATACTTCAAAATCTGAATTACAACTATTCTATAAACTATCAATTCTATATTTAGATCATAACTTCATATTTAAATCTAAGGTGTATATCTGTCATAACAGTATTTTAAAAATGGGGAGAATTTACCATTGTACAATTCAGCACATTGGACCATTTAAGTCGACACCTTAAAGCGAATTTAAAACAGTCGTATATTCGTGGAATGGAGTATACTTACATTTACATTACATTATTAAATCGCGAATCGTCTAAATTGACATTTAAAAACATAAGTTTTTCCACTTTTCTTGTTAACCGTGTTCTTCTTTTATTTAAAATTAAACCAGATTTTGAACATGTGTTCACAAGGAACAGATTTTGTTACAATACTACAATATTTTATGAATATAGTGGTTAAGTTAAGATATACATGGCGATGGTTTTTCCACCACAGTAATAGACAGTTCCAATCTCTGTTCGAAATTTTTTGTGGGTAATATATCATCAGACAAATACATGTCGACTTCTTTTATATCTCTCGATACAGGTGTATGTTTAGATGAGTCATGTCCAATTAATTCATCAAAAATACACCATGGACTTAAGTCATCTTTATCAGTTTCTTTTTCTTGTACTGGTTGATTTTCAAGATTTACTAAACTTATGCAAAGACTCGTTTCATCCATTTTCCATAGTTGAAGAACGAGCTTTTAAAAAGTTTGCAGATTGGATTCCTGGATATATATAAACTGCCAACAGGAAAAACTTTGTCAGGTTCATTACTTCAGGTATGTTATATCAAAACTGAGCAAATTATTAGATCACAAATTGTTAAAGAAGTAGAAAATATCTGTATTACTACTGACCTCTGGACATCTGGAGTAACTGAGAGGTACACAGCATTAACAGGATAATATTTAACCGAAAATTTAGAATTTAAAACGGTTTTATTAGGCTGCTGCCATTTTTCTGGAAACCATAATTCAGAAAACATTGCTTCTGAAATTAGTGAAATTATTAATCAGTGGGGTCTAAAACGAAAAGTAAATTTTGCTGTAACTGATAATGCCTCAAATATGGTCAAAGCTATTAAAGATGTTTTGGAATGAAAACATTTAAATTAGGCTTTATTTGTTAGGCTTTCTGAGATTAGTTCTCGAAGTTTCGCCAACACTAGGGGTTGGCATGTTCTATACACATAATAAAGGTTTACAGTGTTCCCTATACTCTGCTCTTGCAAGTATCCTCACTACTCTTTTTTGTAATTTAAAAATTCGATCTGCGTAAGAAGAATTACCCCAAACAGTTATTCCGTACTGTAAATGGCTATGAAATAGTGCAAAGTAGCACATTCTAAGGGTATTTTTAGGAATCATATAAACTAAGTTGCGTATTAAAAATATACTGTAGCAAGTTTAGAACTTAAGTAATCTATATGAGCACTCCAATCCAAATTATCATCTAGAAAGATTCCTAAAAAGACCCCTATAAAGATGGGAGCTTTGTTCTTTTTAGTTGGCGATTACTGTACATGTCTTATAATAATCTTAAGAACTAGACGAGTTAACTATAGAGTTGTAAAACAATTTATAAAAATAACTTACCACATAATTTTTGTAGTTCCACTTTTGGCTCTGCTCTCTTAGAAGTATTATACCAATGAAGTTACCACATAACATCATAAAACCAACAGCTTTTTTAACCAATAATTGATTTGTTAGTTTGCTTTTACCTAAACTATATGGCTGTAAAACATAATTAAACATTTAAACAAACAAACAGTAATATAAACAATACTTTAGTATTAGATCTTCTTTATTGTATGGTAGTTGTAATTTCTGCTTTTTCAGGTGAATTTTCAATTTTCTTGTAAATTTATAATTGATAAATTTTTGAATGTGCAGCTTAAATTACAAATTGGGTTTGAGCAGTACTCTTGCCAAATGAGTAATTTAAATTTAGATAAAAACATTGCCAATAGTTTCCTAAACTGCCAATTGAATGAAAAGCAACATTTAATTGAAAATATTACTTTAAAAATTCTTTCTAAACAATTACAACATTTTAGAACATAGAGATACAAAGTTGAATTCCATTTACCTTCTTCCTGTAATGAAGATTTTTAATATAACAATATCAAAACAATTTTATAATTTATTTTCTAATGATATCACAGTTTTTGACATCATATTTCACTCTTAAAATTTTTTTTAAATACGATCTTCCTGACAATAAATACATCTTTTATCTAAAATTACTTTTTTTTACTTGAAAAATGAAATTAATTTTAAAATATATATCATTTTTGTAAAAAGTACCATTTAAAGAAATGACAGTCCAAATAAAGTTTAAAAAAATTGTCAAAAGAGGAAGTACAATGTAATGATTGAAGAAACATTAAGGATGAGAAAATGGGAAGACTTAATTTTTACAAAGTTTAAAATAAATGCATTAACATTATTCATCAACATTTGGCAATTATTGTGTAAATATATACTGCTTTTTAATAATTTTGTAAAAATTTGTTTTACTGATGATCAAAGACAAGAACAATGGACTGACTATGTTGCTAGATGGCAATAATATGTAAGCTTTTACAAGCTTGGTACTAATAAGTTAAAAAAATAAATGCGGAGACAAGTATATCAGAGATATTTTGAAGTTGTAGTATGTCCTATATTTACTATCTTTAATCGGAATTATCCACAAATTCATTTAAAAATATATTTATTTTGATGTTTTGATTTGTACTTCAGATATCGTTTTCAAAATTGAAACATTAAAAATAAATGGATACACCTATAATTCACTAAAATTGAATGCCTAAAAGGAAGTACGGATAAATGATACACAAATTTAGAGGCATCAAAAATAAACAAAGAATAAGATGATCATTATCCATTTTTTAACACAACAGTATACCAGAAGTATCTAAGGAAATCAAAAAATTTTATCCTTTCTAAATATAATTTACAAAAGATTTAAAGTTCTTTTAGGAGTTGTGTCAATGTGAAATTAAATATCAGACACAAACACAAGCACAAAGTTAAGCAGCATAATTTAAAATTGTTCATATAATTCAAATATTTATAATCAATTGAGGATAAGAGGACATCTTTCTAAAATAACTTGCTCTAGTTTGATAATGTCACTGATTTATCAAAGTTGAATCAATTGTAAATAATTATCAATAAAGTAAGTTCACCTCAACAAATTAAATAAATTTGTTTTATACTGTTTACCCTTTCCAAAGTGAACCAGAGGAATAATGGATTTTGGATCACCCAAGCTTCTTTCAATGGGTGCTGATGATTGAGTTCCAGTAAAAGTTTTTCTTTTGATGCCTACTCGTATAGATTCCAATTCAGTAGTAGATACATTGGCAAGAAGTCCATAGTTATGCTTAGAGCTAAAATTACAACAAAGAATTAAATGAACTGATTGATTTAGATCTTAAACAAAAAACACTTTTGAGTTAATAGAGACTACCTTATTTTAGAATGTGTAGTTCACTTCATAGGGAATCCCCACATTATTTGTATGAAGTCAAATTTGAACAGGAACTGATTATATATTAGTTTAATACACACTTAGAGATAAAGATATACAAACAGGCAGTTTTTTTGCCAACTTTGTTGGTTACAATATAATATATATATTTGATTAAAACATGACCACAGATAATTGGTTTATACCAATACTATCTGTGGAGAATGCTTTGTAATTTCATTTGTATGTCAGGCAGGTTTTAGTTATAATAAATCTCACTCATCTTTAATAAATTGAAAGCTTTTATGTGGCCTTCAATAGCCTTAGCTTTCATAATTCTCTGTACTTGAAGTTCAAGAATTAAAACAAAATTTTGTAAAACCTGGCTTTAACGCATCCAATTTTCCACTGGCTATTATAAGTAAAAAAACTAATTAAATTTATACAGAAGTACTTACCGCTGAGTGTTATTCCTGCTAGCCATCTTTTCATTTCACTTGGCACGTTTAAAGCTAGATATTATTGATTAAATTACTGTTTTGTATTATTTTTACTTTAAACAAAAAGCAACTCTACAAAATTACAAATTTAGGGTTTAGGGATTAACATTAACCATTAATCTCACTCACTCCATCGGGATTTGCTGTTTATTATTTTTACAATGACAATTGACATTGACATACTAACTCCAAACTCCCTAGAACCACAGAATAATAAACAAACAGAATGCCCACTCTCCACGGAAAATTAAGTACGCGCATCTCCTTCGCGCAGACGTTCCGCCATGTTTTACGAGGATTTTAAAGGGAACCAGTGTTGTTTATGTGGTGTGCATGGAAAAAAAAACCAGGTTTATTTGACTTACGGCAATCATAGACATACTATACAATTATATTAACAGTTTTAAATATAACATAAATATAATATAATTAAACATAAATGTAAACAATTGCATAACCTCACAAATCATATGTTTGTGTCCTCCTAAAACATGGCGCGCGTGCTGAAAAACTTCAAAGGCGGCATCTGAGAGTGGCCCTTCTGATTGTTTATTATTCTGTGCTAGAACTTTTCATCCGCCGCCATTTTTTTCGTACTAACAGATTTGACAGTGACGTATTTATTATACATACTGGTTTATAGATTTATAAATAAATATTTTTTATTTAATAAAGTTATTTTAGTTATAATTAAATATTCCATAAAAACACCTCTTCGTTGTTACTTTTCGTACAGGTATCATAATAAAAATTGATTAAAAAAATGATTTGCTAATTGTGGCACTTTATTTTTTTTTAATAACTAGACTTTCTTTGGTATACTTCATCTAATTTAGATAACGACTTACGTCATTATCTACGTCAGAGATCGAAGTTGACATAGTTGCCAAAGTATAAAAAAATCCTGACTCCATTTTAAATCAAATAGATTACATAATTATTGCAAAAGTATTACCATCTCTTTATAACGACTATTTAAATTCTTACGTGACATTTTTTAAATAGAACACACTAATTTTGTTCTAAAAAGAACAGATTTTATTAAATAGTTGAAAATATAAAACAAGAGATATTCACTTTAAAATTCAAAATAATGAAGTACAAAAAGTGTCAACACCGCAACTGTCAAATAAGTGTTACCAATTTATGCAAAAATTTTACCTTCGTTCGATTACAGTTACAGTGTGATCCGAACAAATGTTCTTGATAAAAACGCTTTATAATGCATTTATACAAATTCAATGAAACATATTAGTGTGTATTTCTTTAAGTTAACATCAATAGAAATTTTTAAATATTATTTCTACGCGTATATAATAAAATATGTCTAGTGGCTGTAATGCCAGTGTACTCGGTAAAGTGATTCTAAAAAAGAACACACCTACACCCTAAATATTTTGTGTTGGTATCATGTGACGTCAAAGGCTATGACGCCGATGACGTGCATCGTTATATAAATTAGATGAAGTGTATATTTATATTATTTATAGTATAACCACAGAATAATAAACAAACAGAAGGGCCACTCTCAGATGCCGCCTTTGAAGTTTTTCAGCACGCGCGCCATGTTTTAGGAGGACACAGACATATGATTTGTGGTTATGTAATTGTTTATATTTATGTTTAATTATATTATATTTATGTTATTATATTTAACAATGTTAATATAATTGTATTGTATGTCTTTGATTGCCGTAAGTCAAATAAACCTGGTTAATTTTTCCATGCACACCACATAAACAACACTAATTTCTTTAAAATCCTCCTAAAACATGGCGGAACGTCTGCGCGGAGGAGATGCGCGTACTTAATTTTCCGTGGAGAATGGGTATTCTGTTTGTTTATTATTCTGTGGTATACCCGGTTCGCTATTCCCAGTCCGAACTGTCTAGTGATTTTAGTAATTATTTTTTTTCGAAGTTAGTAACTTTTTGACAGACTCGAAGTGGCTGGAAAATACTATACAACCAAGCATACGTGCTCTTAGTCAATATTAATGTAAACAAAAGTAAATAAAATAGAACTTTACCGACAATCAATATTTATTTATTTACACCGTATAATGTATTGATAACAAATAATAAAATTATTTATTGTACAAAATAAAAAAGTGGGAAGAAATTCTACAAAATTAAGAAGTCAAAGTGAGGTTAAATAAGAATAAGACACAGCAAGTTCCTTATGTATTTACAACATTTACATAATTCGATAAATACATTTTAATGATCAACTTACCTCAACAGGGTTTTCATTCGGTAAAAAAATGGTAGGCATCTTAAATAAACCTTTGTGCAGTTTTATTACCTTGTAATCTAGGAACAGCATCCTTACTAATCTAAAAATATTAACTTTAAAAAATTTTTTTAAAAAACATTTTATCATATTTATTTAAGAAAAACTTACCAACGCATTAGCTGATGGAACAAATGGAAAACTTTGACTATCCATAATAATAAAATTTAAAATATAACTAACTAATTAACTGAATAGAACTAACAAAAGAATTAAACAAAGATAATAAAACAATATTAAATTAAATAAACAACGCGAATAATACAAGTATATACTACAATATTTTAAATTGTAACAATTCAAATATTATATTTTAAATATACAGGGAAAATTTGATGGGTTTAGTATACACTTCCACTATTTAGAATAATTCTTCTTTTTTTCAAAGAAAGATGTCTGCAATAGTAGTATACTTGAGCTATTTATACTGAGAAGTAGGAATTGTTGTGTTGTAGGTTTCCTACAATGAGTCTGTCAAAATATGCCCTAGATAAGCGAATAGACAATACTTAATTTTCCGTGGAGAGTGGGTATTCTGTTTGTTTATTATTCTGTGATACTATGAGTAACAAGATAGGATCTTCCCGTAGCACAAAATCGGTCGTGTTCGCGCAAGCCGTCATTGGAGAGTACAATTTGAATTCTTGTTAAAGTTAAATGGGATTTGTATGCATTCTGTGATGAAATTACTAGACGAAAATAAGTTAAGAGGTTCAATAATTACAATAATCGTACACATAAGGATATCTCCAAACTATTTATTAAAGATTATTTATTGACACATACAAAAAACTGACATTTCGAACGTGCAACTCTCCAATGGCGTCACGACTTATGCGCAATAACCAATGACGTATAATATATAGACTACGCAGTCCCCTATTCTCGCTAGTAGACGGTGAGACTCGCTACTGTACAGTCACGTATAGATTCACAGTCTAAACCACCTACTTACTTGTACGCTTAGGTCCTAGAGACTGACGGCAAACTATCGTCGGAGCGGGATAAGTATTTATAAAATTATACTTATCCGCTGGACGTTTTAAAGTGGCATTATCTTGAAAAAGACAAATGCCTAAGGGTTATTTATTGTGAGGAATAAAACAACCATTTCTAAGTAGAAAAAAACTCAGCTTCAGAGTCTTTTTAAACTTTTTGCAGAGTCCTCCAGCGAGGAGCCCTGCGGCTACTCCGTAAGAGTAAAACCACGACTGACTGTAAATCGGAAATGTCCCATATTTAAAGTATATTTAACTTTTATATGAAACTTTTACGATTTTTAACCAATAGAATTTATTAAAACTTCCAGAAGGAGGGACGATGCACGTCGATGCGCGAGATTGCGGCGCTCGGCGACATCCCCCCCGCTTTGGAGACTCTGAGGCTGATAAAAAAAGCTGATTTTATTAAAAGCATTAAGAAACAGAATTTTTTACAAGTCAAAAAATAAATTTAAAAATTATGCATAAAAATGGCAAAATTGAATGTTCAAATGTTATCAAAGTCATTACTTACAGTTTTCTTAACACAAAACTACACTCGCGTGGCACTGCACTGCACAAAAACACTCACAGGCGGTGGTCGGTGTCGTGGCCGGCTTCTGCAGGTCCCTCCTCGGCGATGTGGCCGGTCGTCGGCCGCTACGTCTCGTTCTAGCCCTTCAGTACCCTCTGCATGTCACCGGTGGTCCGTACGTAGGCGAGTTTACCTGAGCTTCCGTGGTGCTCCCACATACTGGTAGGGCAGGCAGTGACTGGCTACTCCGGGGACATCCATCGTGCATCAGGTACGGCATCAAGGTAGGTTGGCTTCGGAGAAGGTCACACATCGACGGTTACAGGTTGCAGAAGGTTGGATATCGGCATATTAGTGTATAACATACTAATATCCGATCCTCTCCCCGCTGTTTCTTGAGTGGTTCTTGTTGCAGACCACGTGTAGGAATTTCTGCGATGTTGGAACGCTAGCATGAGAACTCTAACCACTCAGGGCGTGGTTACGTTCGAGTTTTGTTGGGCGCCATATCGTCGGAGCGGGATAAGTATTTATAAAATTATACTTATCCGCTGGACGTTTTAAAGTGGCATTATCTTGAAAAAGACAAATGCCTAAGGGTTATTTATTGTGAGGAATAAAACAACCATTTCTAAGTAGAAAAAAACTCAGCTTCAGAGTCTTTTTAAACTTTTTGCAGAGTCCTCCAGCGAGGAGCCCTGCGGCTACTCCGTAAGAGTAAAACCACGACTGACTGTAAATCGGAAATGTCCCATATTTAAAGTATATTTAACTTTTATATGAAACTTTTACGATTTTTAACCAATAGAATTTATTAAAACTTCCAGAAGGAGGGACGATGCACGTCGATGCGCGAGATTGCGGCGCTCGGCGACAATGTCGCCGAGCGCCGCAAACTCGCGCATCGACGTGCATCGTCCCTCCTTCTGGAAGTTTTAATAAATTCTATTGGTTAAAAATCGTAAAAGTTTCATATAAAAGTTAAATATACTTTAAATATGGGACATTTTCGATTTACAATTCAGTCGTGGTTTTACTCTTACGGAGTAGCCGCAGGGCTCCTCGCTGGAGGACTCTGCAAAAAGTTTAAAAAGACTCTGAAGCTGAGTTTTTTTCTACTTAGAAATGGTTGTTTTATTCCTCACAATAAATAACCCTTAGGCATTTGTCTTTTTCAAGATAATGCCACTTTAAAACGTCCAGCGGATAAGTATAATTTTATAAATACTTATCCCGCTCCGACGATATGGCGCCCAACGTGGGGCTCGAACGTAACCACGCCCTGAGTGGTTAGAGTTCTCATGCTAGCGTTCCAACATCGCAGAAATTCCTACACGTGGTCTGCAACA